GGGCTCCTGATGACATCGGGAGATGTGAGGATAATCCGGATCTGGGACACGGATCGGGAAATGAAAGTACAGGTAACACCTGCGTGTTTGTCCCATTCCCCTTTTCCCTCCCAGCAGACATCCCGTGCAGTGAGTTACCCCACGCGCAGCCGAAGCATCCAAGACTCGTCTGGGAAGAGCTGACAGCTCCTGGAGCTTCTGCTTCCCGGCCTCAGGGTCACGTTACAAGATGAACAAAAATACACACGTACTCAGTGAGCGTGCCAGGGCTTTCCTGGCAGCTGCTGCGGTTATTCCGGGCAGCGTGCTGCAGTGTTTGGGAAAGGTGAGGCTGTGAAATCCAGAGGCAGGCACCAGGATGCAGATAAGGTTTCCTATTAGTGCATCATTACAACGGTGTAAAAATTCCTGAGGAGGTTCAGGGTGAGCTGGGTTGGCAGTAGAGCGTTCTGACTTACATCCCTGCTTCTCTGGGGCGTACAGAGCTAATCACGGAGCAGCACCGCTCCGGTACCTACGGGCCAAAGGTCTTCTTTTCAGGAAAGCTGTGTCCATGCAGAGAGCACTCACATCCCTGCTCGGTCCCCTCCGGAGCCGAGACCACGCGCTCCGCGGGGCAGAGGCACGAGTGTTCCCTGGCCGTGCACCAGCAGCATCGTTGCTGGTTTGGGTCCGTCTGACTCCGGTCAGCAGTTTGCTCCGTGTTGTCCGGCCCTGGTACCAAAGGCTGTGGATGCCTGCGAGGTGCCGGCAGCTCCCTCGGCATCCTCGGCACGTGACGTTTTGTGTAGTGGGGAACCGGCGCCGCGAGTGCTGGTGTCGATCGTAATCAGATAAGTTTCTCAGGAATTCTAAGGAGAAGCAGCTGGTCTGTGAGAGCGGAGTCACCATGCTGGAGAAAAAAGGAAGAGTAGTTTTCAAAGCTTCTAGAAATTAATTACCCTTGGATGAACATTAATTATGATACTTTGACCCTGCAATGCAGGATAATTAAGCCTATGTTAATCTTAATTACTTTCACATATTTTTTTCCGTGTAAATTAGAGAACAGTAAAATTCAAGAGGTGAAAATCTTTTAAATTACGATGATGAACGATTGCGCTGAAAGTATCTCAAAACATGTTGTTTCTGTTTTAATTGTGAAGATTGCTTGTGTTGAAATTCAAGTGATTGAAACTTCCTGACTCGGTAGCGCCGGGAAGCGCAGTTCAGCGCGGAGCGCAGCGGAGCTGTGCGATCCCGGCTAACAAAGGTGCCTTCCCACTCTTTGAACTACAAAAAGTGCCTCTGGAAGCGCTGGGGATGTCACTGAAGAAGCAAACGCTTCATTTTCACTTCTGCTGATTGTTCCTGCTTCAAAGCTGGATCTGGGCTCAGAAAAAAGCCCGAGGCCGGCGCCTCCCCCGCAGCTCCGCTGGGGCTGGGAGAGGCGACCGTGTGCCGGAGCGAAAATAGGATCGAGGTGTGAAACTGGCCAAGGGCTTTCCGACGCACCTCCTGATTGTCACCCGGCTTGCTCAGCACCGCTGAGCTTCTTTTACCTGCTTCAGTTGGACACGTTTTTCCTCGTGGCAGGCGTTGACACTTTCCAAGCATCCCTTTTGCTTTATAGCCAGTAAAAAGCAGGAAAGTAGCAGCGTTAGGGAGCGCGCCCCGTGCTCCCAGCACAGCTGTCCTCGCAAGCTCCAGCCTTCTTCTCCCGTGTCTTTTTTTTCAATGCACACAGCGTCTGGCTTCTGGTGAGATAACCTGGATGCGCGTGCCACGCGTCCCGGAGCGGGGCCTGCGGTGGCACGGCGCTCTGTCTCACGGAGCAGGTTCTCCGGTGCCGTGTGGGAGTCAGGCAGCTCATTGCGTGGTCTGAGGCTCACGTGTCCGCCCCGACGTTGTTCAGGAGCACTGGAGCTGCCCGCGGCCGCCGGGCCCGGGGAGGAGGAAGGTCACACTCCGACAGCCCGGCTTAGCCGCCGGGCTCTGCACAGGGGCAGGGATGAGCCAAATGGTGAAAGGAGGAAGAGAGCTCAGTGTTTAAAAAAAAAAATAAAAATAAATGGAAAGAAATGGACTTCGTGTATAACTCCTACAGCTTATTTGAGTGTTGCTTTGATGCACAGAAAGGGCCGATGCCTCGCAGCTTTCTGCCTTTTTTTGTGCGGCTGGTATTACCTGTGCCACGCCGCACGTTGGGTTTGTCTGCGGTTTTATAGATGTCGTTATGAGTTTTTGCTTTCTACAGGTGTATTTGTCTTACGTGACTCTCCTCCTCCAGATACGTACTGTCCCTCCTGCCATTCCAGTGGCCTTTACAACTGGTAGACATCAAAGGTGGTTTATGGAGAAATGACTCCTCTGGTCATTTTTTTTGACTAATGAGATATTCTTCATGGAGAATGGTATTAACTCGTCCTTCCTCAAGCAGACCTTACTTTTGTTTTGGTTTATAAAGCGGAATGATTTGCAAAAGCTGGTTGTGCTGGAGTTCCTGCTCTGGACCTGGCTCTCTGCGCCGACGTGTGGTACCTGTGGCTCCAACCCGTGGCAGCAGCAGTGTCTGTTGTCCCCAGGGCCACCACCCCCTCGGTTCTGGCCATGTCCAGAGGGGCTGAAGGAAAGTGTCACGCTCGGCAGCATCGCAGTGCTGTGACACGTCGAAACTCAGGGTTAGTTTTGGGCTGGTGTACAGAATGGGGTGAGGAAGAGGAGGAGGACAGGGGGTCCACCTGGTTTAGCACCTCGACTCTAGTGCCTTCTCGTTGGGGCTCTGGACTTGAAGACGCATCGCGCTCTCAGCTTGGTTTTCGTGTGCTTTCTCCTTAGGACATCCCCACCGGAGCCGACAGCTGTGTGACCAGCCTCTCGTGTGATTCCCATCGCTCGCTGATCGTGGCGGGGCTGGGGGACGGCTCCATCCGCGTGTTCGACAGGAGGATGGCTCTGAGCGAATGGTAACTGCTTAGGGATGTGCTTTAATGGGGATTAGGGACGGTTGGACTGGATGATCTCTAAGGTCTTTTCCAACCTAGAAATCTATGAATCTATGAACTGCCACCCTTCCCGGCGCTGGGGGATCCCACCTGTCCCCCTCCCCTTCCAACGTTTTCTCTGCTCATCCCTCAGCCGCGTCATGACGTACCGCGAGCACACGGCCTGGGTGGTGAAGGCCTACCTGCAGAAGCATCCCGAGGGCAACATCATGAGCGTCAGGTAAAAGAGATTTTACTGTTTGAGAGCTGTTTCCTCTTGAGCACAGTTTGCTTTTCTGTTTAAAACCTGCCCCTGGTGTTTCAGGAGCTAAAGAGGGTGAAGCTCTTTGGTTTGACATTTGCTTTGGTAATTAACTGCTGCTCCAGACGTGGTGGAGAGAAGGCAGAAAGAAACGTGGAGCTGTCCTTGGCAGCCGGTTAGTGGGGTCTGAGAGTAAACAGGGCGGCGTCTTTGCTGAAACCGTCGTCACGAGGCGCGCGAGGGAGGAACGGAATGGACCAGAAACCTGAGCTGGATACGGTATATCTTGTGGTTGATCTTTATTGCCATCATCTCCGTGGGGTCATTTGAGAGGGAGCAGGAGAAGGAAGGTTGATGTTGCATCTGTTGGGTGTATTGCTGTGCAGGATTGCTTTGCTGTCTGGCAATTTTCTACACATAAATCCATTTCTACTGCCTGGTAAATACTGCAGAGAGAGCAGCATATACTTATTTGGCCATTAAAGAACAGCAGAATATAATTTATTGTCACAAAGCCACTGTTTGCACACAAAGAGGCTCTTTTTCTTGATTACAAAGTGAAAACAAAATGTAATTTTCTGGGATTCAGAATATTCCTGAGGCGGGGGATGGGCCAGCAAAAATGTATTAAGATTTTTCAGAAAGGGGATTATGCGATGCAGCTGCCAGCTTTGTGGAGCTCACATATTAGAGTTTTTAATCTTCCTTTCTGTAATCTCCTTCAGCAGTCCCGGGGGTCAGGCCTGGACGCTTGGCCAGCCTGGGGCTGCAGGCTCGCTTTTCCCTCTCCGCGGTGCCCTTCCCAGCACATGGTGCTTTCTCTCGGGATCGAACTGGTATGAGAAAATGCTGTTCTTCAGAAGACAGGTCTGGTGTCACCCCAGAGGAATTCGGTTTGTTGAGACAAGCCCCGCTGCCCTCAGTTTCTCTTAGTTCACGCTCTTCTTCAGTCGACAGCAAGGTCCAAGAAAAACAAATCTTAGGGCGTAGCGAGGTCTTGGTCTTCTTGCTGGAAATGTCGCAGGCATTGTATTGCTTGTGGAGCAGTTCTCTGAACCTCAGAGAAACTTTTTCTCTGGACCAGAGGCAGGAGTTTGTAGCACCGGACTGGTGACTGAGCCAGATCCTGCAGCTCTCCATTGCCCAGTGCTGGGTCACCACCTGATATCGTGGTCAGCTCCTTTGATCTGTGGCCGGTGCTGCCACAGTGCTTGTAATTAACCAGCAGCTCTGCTTTTACCAGCCTGGCAGCGGTGCCAGAAAAGGTCCTTAAACACCTTCCGAATATCCTGGTTTAGCAGCTTAGCTGCTGTTGACTGTTACTGGTCGACTGGGATGTGTTTTCCTATGTAGTCCCTCATCACAGAACTTCACTTCCATTTTAAAGCTCCTGCACCGTCTTCCAATGCATTCAGAACCGTTTTCAAGTCTTATTAAGGTTCAAAGCTTTAAATTAATTTACTGTATATTTGATCTCTCTCAAACAATGTTCCCATCTAGTCTTCAGGATCTAAATCAACTTGAAGTTTAATGTCTTGAATTTAATTATGTGACAGCTGGAGTTGCAGCTTCTTATAATGATATAAGTAATCTTGTATAGCAGCCTTTTTTGATCACTTTTAGATATTCCAGAGGTAAAGAAACCGAAGGCAGTATGCTTCTTAATGCCTTCATTGCCCTTAACTCTATAGTGATTCACAGTTGAATGGCTGTCAGTGACTTGGAAAAAAAAAAAAACACTGTAAAAGTCGTGGTGCTAAAAGCCTTACTTCTGCTGCCAGCAGAATAAGACTGGATGAGTTAATTTTAAATTTAATTTCCACAAGAGACTTTTCTGTTTGTCTTTCTGTACGCCAGTCGACCAGTCTCTTACAAGGAGCTCAGAAGAACAGAGGTACCATAGCAAAATCCTCAGCCCTCGGTTCCAGGGCTGCAGAAAAGGGGCACCCGCTTCGCTTCTAACAGACGTGACTCTACTGATGGGTTTCAGAGAGGGCACTTGACAAGGAGAAACCATTCGTGTTTGGTGGGTGCCCGATCTGCTCAGCACAGTGTCTTGCCACTGCTGCTGTCGCTTTCCCCGCCCGCTGCTCCCTGACGAAGTCGTTAATGGGATCGACACGTCGCCTGTTGCGCCTGGGCCGCAGAGCGCTTTGGGCAGCGAGGACCTGGGCATCTGTGTCCCGCCGTTTGGCATAATGGATGGTACTGGCAGATCCCATCTGGTTAGAGTTTCCTAATGCAATTTCCTGCTGTGAAAAGGAGAAGGAGTTCGGGTCTGACATGCAGCTCAGTGTATTGAGTACGACATAACAGTAAAGGCGCTTAACTCAGCGATGAGCTGTAAGCAATAAAAGAAATAACGGGTGGCTCCTGAGGGCAGGGGCAGAGCTGTTGGCACGGCCCTTAGTGCCTCCTGATGGAACCAGGTGTGTGACATCAGTGGGAACTCAGCCGTAGTGACGCAGGCGGCGAGGGTGCGTGTCTTTGTCCTGATGCTCTGATGGAGTTGGTCAGCTCACGGACGGGCAATTGGCTCCATTTCCTGGGCTCGAGCACCTGGTTTGGGCACAGCCTGACCCTGTGAAACTCCTGTGTTGGCAGCGTCAACGGAGACGTGCGGTTCTTTGACCCCCGGATGCCGGAGTCCATGAAGGTCCTTCAGATCGTCAAAGGGCTGACGGCCCTCGACATTCACCCCCAAGCCAACCTCTTTGCATGGTGAGTTCTGGTTTCGTCTCTTGCGTCCCTGGAGCGGACAGAGAGGACAGTTTGTCTCTGCAGACATCATTCACTGTCTTTTGTTGGGTTTGTTGTTTGTTTAAACCTCACCCCAAACAGTGCAGCATCCTTCCTGTGTTATCCCTTGCATAAAGGAGAGAAACCTCTGCCCCAGTGACTTGGAGTGATAGTGTACGGTCTTACACTCCTGTGTCAGATCCCTGTGCAAAGTTATCATCTGTATTTCTGGGCTTTGAGTGGGGACCAGCAACTGCTCCACAGCCACATATCCCAGAGGTTCCTGGGGGATCTGCTCTGGGTGCATGTGTGCATCAGCTCTTCGTGTTTTCTGTCTCGGTCCTGCAGTGTGACTGTGGTTCCAGCCTTTCTGTAAATCTCTCTGCACTGAGGTTGCCACCACACAGTTAAAACCCGTCTCCCCACTCACGAGAACTCGCACACTGGTCTGATGCACAGCTCAGGTCAACACAGCTGAAGAGGGGCTGTGGGCAGCGATACTGTTCTCACCACAGCGTCTGCGGTGACACTGTGTTCTCTTGGTTCCTTTCCAGTGGCTCGATGAATCAGTTCACTGCCATCTACAATGGGAACGGGGAGCTGATCAACAACATCAAATACTACGATGGTTTTATGGGACAAAGAGTTGGAGCCATCAGCTGCCTGGCTTTCCATCCTCACTGGGTCTGTATTCTCTCTTTTTGGATTTGGGGGATTTGCGTTTCTTAGTTAACGTCCGTGTGGGAGGAGGGAGAGGCACAGAGAGGTGCTGCCCCAGCGTGGTCTTCTGAGGATGCTCTGAGCCCGACTCTCAGCCCGGGTTCTCAGTGCTCGTCCTCCAGGCTGTTCCAGGGGACACACTGGCCGTGCCACCAGCGCTGCTGGTTTATGGTGCGCACCTACAACTGGGACAGGACTCCCACTGGCTGAGCCCTTTCTTCTTGTGCATCAACTCGATACACCATTCCCGTTCTTCCCATTGCTCCGGGGCTGCGGCCTGGCTGAGCTCTGTAGTTCTGCCGCTGAAGCTGTCCCAGGCGGGTTTGCCTGGAGCTGACTGGAGAGGTGCAGTCTCTCACTTCCAGCACGCAAAATTTTATGTGCTTATTTATTCCACGCCTCTTCTCGTGCAGATGGTGGGCTCACCCTGTGTCTCTGGGGCTGCTCTTACGCTGCCTTATGTAAGGCTTTAGGAGGAGCTGTAGAGAGATGCAGTGGAAAAACTGCACATCGGAAAAGGGAGAGAACTGCAAAAAGGAAAGGTGTAAGCTGATGAAGTCTAGAATGAATCAGAGTAAAAAGGAAATTTCAGATTATGTCACAGCTGAGGAGGCTCTGCAGCGGTCGTTAGAGAGAGAATCTGGTTGCTAATTCATTAGGAGGCAGGTGCCCATCTGCCTCATGGGCTTCTGCTCACCTGGAGACGAGAATAAATGAAGGAGATTGGAAGTCTAAGAGCAGCGTGAAGGGATGGGGAAGACAGGAGGAGGGTAAAGGCAGCGTTTAGATGGAGAATTGTTTTAGAAACCTGCAGGTCGGAACACAAATATTTAATATGTGGTGGGAAAGAGCGGTGGGGAGGGTAAAGGGCCTGGCAGAGAGGAGGGAAGAGCTGTGCTGCCCCGTGCTTTGGTGTCAGCTGGGCAGGGAGAGGGAGGGCGTTCTGCCCACGCTGTGTGCATTTGCATCCTGAAGGCAGCGAGGCTGAAGGAAAGCTCGTCTCGGTTTTGAAAAGCTGCTTTGCACAAAGCCGAACAGCAGTTCTGCTGCCCTGCAGCTCGGGAGGCAGAGAAAGAAGCGGCTGATCACTGGGAATGCCTTGCTCCTTAGCTCGGTTTTGAAAAGCTGCTTTGCACAAAGCTGAACAGCAGTTCTGCTGCCCTGCAGTTCGGGAGGCAGAGAAAGAAGTGGCTGATCACTGGGAATGCTTTGCTCCTTAAACGAGCAAACAGGGAACGCCCGCTGCAGCCCCGGTCCCCGCGGCCAGGACTGCTCCTGGGCCGCTCGGGTGCGGATTCACAGGCCAGGGGACTGCTCCCAACGAGCAGGTTTGCAGTCATTTAGAAAAATTGTGCTAGCCCTTGGCGACTAACAGTCACCGGGATTCTTCCCTGTGGCTGAAACGGGCATATAACTCGCTGGGCAGTTACGTCGTCAGAGCTGCTTTGGCAGATGCGCTCGGAGCTCTCGAGCATCTGGGCTGAAAATGCCAGCCGTTACCGGTCTGCCCGCGCCGCGCCGCTCGTTACCGCGCGACGCCGGAACGCTTATCCCCGGTCTGCTCTTCCCACAGCCGCACCTGGCAGTCGGCAGCAACGACTACTACATCTCGGTGTACTCGGTGGAGAAGCGGATCAGATAACGGCTGGGGGGGGGGGGGCCCGGGGGGAGAAGGGATCCCAGCGGGCAGCGCCGCGGCCGCCCCTAATGTACATAATGAAATTATCGACTTGAATGTTTAGTGTTGGCTGCTGCTGCTGCAACCCATAACTTGAACATTTTTTTTCTGACTTAGCTACTGATGATTTTGACAAGGGGAAGAGAGACAATCTCCTTCTTTGGTTGTTGTTTCGGGGGTTTTTTTGTTTTTTTTGTTTTTTTCCCAGCTATATCCTCTAAAAGCTACAGAAAAGGAACATTTTATTTTTGTTTCCAGTGGTTGGCTTCTCTGTTAGAAACACGGCTCCTGAGCTTGGAAGGACTGAATGAGGCAATACCCTTGAAAAAGGCTTTCTGTTTTAGTCTTTGTTTCTTTGTTTTGCTGGAGCGTAGGTTGCTTTAAGGACTGGAGTCAGGACTCACCTACAGCTCCGTGCGTTCGACCAGACCCCGGGACCCCTCCACTGCTGCCCACCCTGTGCCAAACTGTAATTCCTCCAACAGGGCAGCCAGACACGAGCTGTCCATCCGCAGAACAACGTACGTGCTCCTCCGCCTGAGCGTGGGCGAGGGAGGCAGGAAAGTGTCTCCTCTGCATGAACCTCGTCCTCTCTGCGGCGTCCTCTCCAGCAGAAGGAGAGATGGAAGGCGGCGTGGTGGCAAGGGGAGACAGGGATCCTGAGGAAAGGGGCTTGAGATGACAGGATGCCACCGTACCATAAGGTTGCACATACAGGAAGAAGAAGGAAGAAAGAGAACGGACTTTAACATCCCAGCAAGCCTGGAGCAAGTCACTCATGTAACCACTTCCACCCAAGCACGCGGTGCTGCTGGGGAGGTCTGGGGTGTCTCAGTCACTGTCACTTCTGCAGTCACTGTCCTTCTGCCCACAGTGAACTCCACGAACATGTTTGACAGCCCAGGAGCCCTGCCCGGCCGGCGAGGGAAGCTCCAGGGTCAGGCCATGGGCTTTCGTCTCACTCCAGCGTGCCGGCGCGCAGCACGGCGGCGGGCAGCAGAAGTTGCACACTCGCTGCTGTGCGGATGCAGCTGCAGATGTCGCGTGGACGCGGCCGTGGCTTGTCTGTCTGTCTGTCCCTGCAGAACTGGGCATGTAACCACACGTGGTCTGAGCACAAGAGAATCACTCGGGAGGGGGCAGACAGCAGGTCCTGCTGCTTTGGGCAAAGCAGCTTTCTCCCAGCTTCGCGGGGCAAAGCCTGCTCCGTCTTCCACACCTTCCACCTCTGAATAATGAATGTTTCTGTCCCTTGAAATCCGTTGCGTGGGGAAGGGGTAGGCAAAGCCAAAGGGCAGGTGGTTTTTTTTTCAAGTGCTGCCGAGGCACGATTTAGCTGGCCGAGGACAGAACGTGCACGGTGCAAAAATCACTGCAGCAACAAGGGTTGACCTGCTGAGTCCAGAAGTCCCCAGTTTTTCTTCCAGCCGGTCCCACGGGGGCTGCAGGCTCCCAGTAACCTCTGCCAGCGGCGAGGCTGATGGTGGAGAACATACCAATGAGGGAAGGAGTGAGAAACGTTCTCTCCCTGTGCGGATGGCGGCTTCACCTCTGCCGTGGTGCCTGTGGAGTGCGTCTGACCTGTCGCTGCTCCTTGGACACCGGATAATCTTGTTTCCGAGCCGGGCCCCGCCGGAGCGGTGGAGTCAGCGCGGTGGCTGTCCCAGGGGAGCTGGATGCCAAGCGCCGTACGCACGTCTGGATGTTCCCTTCGGTGAGGGTCCTGGGACCGCAGCGGTGGGGCAGATGCCCAAGGCTGAGCGCTGTGTCCGTGCCCGGAGCACCGTCGCTGGCCCCCCGGAGCAGGGAGGCCAAGGGCTGCTTCACAGGATGACGAATCAAAGGCTTTAAACTTAAGGAAAACTACCTAAATGTCCACTTTTAAGTTACCAAAAGTTAATTATGGTCTAACAGAGCTGTGCCTCTTCTCGACCTCCTCCCGTGCTGCTCCAGCATCGGTCCCAGCGGTACGGTCTCCTCCACCCTGCCCACGCCGCGGGCCAACGAGGGGCTGGCAGGCGCAGAGCCGGAGTTTGGGATCTACGTGTAACCGATTAACGTGCACAGCTTAAAAAAAACCCAATAGGTTTTTAACTTATATCAGTGTATTCATTAAAGGAACAAGAAACACCTGGCAAAACACGAAGGTGCGTGGTGGGAAGCTGCTGCCCGGTGCCAGCGCTGCCCGGTGCCAGCCGGCCCCGAGGCCGGGAGGTGGGTTTTTAACTAACTCGGCCTGTTTAGCTTTCATCTAAGCGTGTGCGTGTGCGGGCTGTATTTTCACAGGTCTGATGCAGAGATTCAATCATGAAGTTTAACCAAGGATCTGGAGAGCATCCTACCTAAAAAGTTCACTTATCTCTATTTATTTTACAAAAAATTAAAAAAAATATATATAAAAAAACCACACGATTGTAATGTAAGAGTAAAACAATTACAGACAAATAAATGGTTAATAAAAAATAAATGCAGAAACACTTCCTGGGCTGTGGTTCGTTTCCTGGAGCAGAATCATAGAATGGTTTGGGTTGGAAGGGACCTCAAAGATCATCCAGTTCCAACCCCCCTGCCATGGGCAGGGACACCCTCCAGTACATGAGGTTGCCCAAAGCTCCATCCAACCTGGCATTGAACGCTTCCAGGGATGGGGCAGCCATCTGCAGGAGTGTGCCTGTGGATCTGAGCCTCGGATCCGGCTCTGGAGCGCTGGCGGCGGCAGATAAACCGAACCAGTGAGCGCTGTCCTCGTGCCGAGGGCTGCGCAGCTCCGTCCCCTCCCCAGGGCATCCCACCGGCACCGGCACTGGTGCTGCATCCTGGCTGAGGCACCGAATCCCCACCGTGTTCCCATTCTGGTGGAAGCATGGGGTGTCAGGGGCTCTCTCCTGGCCAGACCTTCAAGGGTGGGCAGGGGGAGGTGTTGGGGCGACCATCGAGTCACCAGGAGGTGGGTTGTGTCCTGGGTGCCCCTGGGGGTGACAGCCACGCCACGCCGGGCGTCTGCCTGGGCACCAGTGGGGTTAAACAGCACACGGCATCCGAGGGGCTCACCATGGGAACCACCTTCTAGACGGTTTTATTTATTATTTTTCCCCACAACCCCTGTGCCCCTCTGAGGGCAGCATTTGGTTGGCAGCAGCGGCACGGAAACCCGCGCCGGTGCCCGATCCCCTTCTCCAGAGCCGACGCCGTAATCAGGGACGTGGGGCGGCGCAGAGCGAGCGGTTGGGCGATCCGGAGAGAAACTGCAGCAGGAGAAAAGGTGTTTTCTGGCGCCTCACCTCGCAGAGCCGAGTTGTTGGAGGAGGTTGGATGGCTCCAGGGAGTGCCGTACTG